AAATTAAATTGATTTAAACAGCCAATCATACGAAAGTCTTCATATGGTCTCAAACCCGAACTGCCAAAATTGATAACCTGTCAAATCCGATAAAAAATTAATCCACCAGTTCATAAATTTCGTAGTTTAAATGTTTGACCTCATGATATTATCTACCGTGCATATCGGTTTTGAGAGGTTCAACAGTATTAACATTAAAAGGTCAAAATTTTCTATTCTTTTAAATTACATTATATGAATGTTTTGGGTGATTATTGATTTATCGTAAATTTTAACAAAATACTGTTGAACCTTCAAACACGATCCTGTTAAAATCAATAACTTGTCAAATCTGATAGAAATTAATCCACCAAATTCGCTTTCTCTATGTAAACCTAATACTTTAGAACTTCTCAAAACCGATATGCACGGTAGACAATCTTATCGTTATTATGAGGTCATCATGTTTGAAAAATTTAAACTACTAGATTTATGAACTTGGTGGATTAATTTTTTATCGGATTTGACAGGCTATCAATTTTGACAGATTTGTGAACTTGGTGGATTAATTTTTTATCGGATTTGACAGGTTATCAATTTTGGCAGGTTCGGGTTTGAGAGGTTCAACACTGCTTGCGCAATAAAGTTTTCTTTATAATTGTGGTATGCTTACGTATGCATCTACTCATCGGTATGTCATATACCGGTAATCGGTAGGTACAAAATCACGTGAATGGTAGGTGTCCGGAGGCTTTCCCCCTTACTGTCCGTCTGTAGATCCTGCGGGCGCACCTAGGTAAGATCCTACCCTAAAGTAAAAACACGTGTTCGGTAGTGTCCGGAGACTTTTCCTATTCGTTTGTAGTTATTTCGTTAAAAGCAAGTGAAACTTTGACCAGCGTTAGGATTATGGTTAAATTGGTATAAGGAACGTCATATAATAAAATTTGGCCAGGAATTTTTTTTATTAGAACGTAAAAGGTGATGTTTTGAAAAAGCTTTCGATTTCACGTTACACAAATATTGCTCCTGATCTGAGATCTACATATAAAAATTTCCTTTTCTGGATTTGTATCACGCAGTACACGGATTAACATTTTTTGCTGCCATAAATATTTGTTTACATGCAGATCAAATTTTTTTTTACTTACTCGTGATTTTCCACCAAAGAGTTTGCCTTTTGCCAGAAGCTTTCTGTTCACCAATGGTTTTTCTTTCACCAAAGTGTTTCGCCTTTTTTATGGGCGATTTTCTTTCGCCAAAGAGTTTCGCCTTTTGGCAGGAGTATTTTCTTTCGTCAAGGAGTTTATTCGTTTTCACTAGCTTTAGTTTCATTTTGGTCTTGATGGTGCACACTTATTAACTCTCTTTTAGTTGACGTCACTCAGTACTAGTCTTTTTCCGGGATTTGTTCTTGCAAAGATTTCGTTTTTGCCAGGTATTGTCTTCTGTCGCGAGTTTCATCTTTCATCAAGGATTTTGCCTTTCGTTATCAAAGGTTTTGCCTTTCGTTAGGAGTTACATTTTTTGTGAGTTTTTTCGTCATTTTATGAAAAACTTCGTATGTTCAAGTAGCGTTACTCATCTCTGCAGATTTTTGATAAGAAATGAACGACTTTGCACATTCTTTTCAACACCAATAACAGATACTCATAAGCTGAATAAAATAATTGATGTAAATAAAATAACTTGAAGAATATCATATATTAGTAATTGGATTTAAATTGCTAATTTTATTTTACTAATCTTACTACTTACGGACTGAAGTAAATGATTAATGCAAATAAAATGCCTTAAAGGTATTATTTATTGGTAAATAAGTATTTATGTTCATAATTTATGAATTTAATTTGCTGTTTTTAATTCCACGATCTTTCTATTTACAGGTTGAATAGGCGATTAATGCAAATAAAATTACTTGAAAGGTATTATATTATGTATTAGTAAATGTTTATGTTTGTGATTTGTGAACTTAATTTGCCGTTTTAATGCCGCGATCTTTCTATTTGCAGGCTGAATTGGCAATTAATGCAACTTATGCTTTATATCCATCCTTTTAAGCAACAACTCCATTCCGACAACAGTATTTAACCTGGAGTGCTCTATCAGTGTTACTTATTTTTGTGAATTTTTGATATGAAATAATTCCTTTTCTTTTCAATACTAATTCATTTATAATAATAGTCTGCAGATTTTTTATAAGAAATGAATGTCTTATGTTCGTCCTTTCAACTCAAAAATCCCATCTTACTAAGCGGAATATTCTATCGACGTTACTAATTTTGCGGATTGATAATAAATTAGTGTATTCAAAGATTTGAAATAAGTTATTTTAACTTCAGAAAATCACATCGAAAGATCATATAATTACATAAACTATAATACTAGACTTGGAGTATATGTAAGAAATTTTTTAATTTCTTTTCTTTTTTTTGCTTTTACTGATCCTTTATTTGAACTGTGCAATCATTCTTTCATCTTGAGTTTTGTATTCTTGTATTAAATCGACATTTAGATGCTTCAGGGTAAAATTAATTTCTTTATTCTTTATGTTTTATTTTATTTTATTTTATTTTATTTACTACTGATCTTGAAAACAGTAGCTCTAACTGAAAATGCAGTTTTAAATTTTGTATAGCCACGCTGAGGATAGAAAAAAGGCATTTGCATGATAATTGAAATCTTCAAACAGCGGCAATTTTAATGGACAAAACAATCTTATATTCTTTTACAAAAACGGCACAGGCACAGCAAAAGACGAGAAAAAGTATTTGAGCGACATTGAAATCATCTGAGAATGGCAATTCATTAATTCCACATTCTGTTTCTGCATTGAAAAAGTATAGTCACTGCTAGGAACAAAAAAGAGGCGGCAAAGATGGCAATTTTAATAGACAATAAGTTCTAAATTTTGCAATGAAAATAGTGTACTCCGGACTAAAGATGCCTAACGAATGACAAAGCGTTCGTCATTGATGATTAACAAACCTTTCGCCAAGCAATTTTCGAATGACGAATTGACGATCAATGAAGCCTATGACGACTCACAAAACCTATAACGAAACCTATAATGGTTGATGTTGCAAAGGATTATCTCTTTTCTTTCATAATGAACCACACATTTGCCTCGACAAAATTAATAATTGTGTCTGTATTATCATATGCACCCATTTATAGCCGCAGTAACTACTACCAAAAGAACTCGAAAATATTAGTAGAGTAATAATAAAGCGACTAAGTCGCCCAAAAGTAGAGTAAAATAAAACTTATCTGGACACAACACCCGATTACAATATTAGGGTTTTGTTGTAATGTCTTGGTTAGTGTAGCTTAATTAGTATCTGGTATTATTGTATAGTAAATATGTCATATATAGACTATGCAACTTGTCCGACGCACTGTAGACTTTCTCGGCGTGTACGCGAATTAAGGCGTATCCACCTAGAAAATCGTATCTGTTCAAATTAAGGTGTATTCGTTTACATTTGAACGTAAACGTCCTAACAATTAAAAATGTATTGAAAATCTAAACCCACAAAGCAATAAAGCATCATTCGTTACACTTTCGATTAAATAAAGCATATACCTATATGAATTTTTTCTTTGTAAGTTATTCTCTAAATTCGACGTGTAACTTTAATAAACCTATCAAAACTCAATTTTCCGGACTGAATTGGCTTAAAATTTCGACATAGCTTACTAAAACTTGAGTTCTAGTATATTTTAGGACTCAAATACTTAAATATTACTTGACTAAATTCATCCTTTTATCGTATACCGTTGGAGTCAAATTGGCTTTGTCTATATCGTTTTATTCTGCTCTTCCATTCAACGGTTACAATACTAACTAGCCATGGTTTTATTTCTATATGAAAAAAATATAGATCGTAGGTTATGTAAAAAAATGAAGAAAAAAATATTATTTGCAAAATTTAATAATACTAACTAAACTCTAGTCCTTTAGTTCTATATTACTAATTTTTTCTAAAATTTGCTCGAATAGGACAGTAATTTTCTTTCCACATATACTACAATAAAAAATATATAATAAAAATTAGTTAACAATAATGATTACTAAGT